AGCCAAAAGGGGAGGGGGACTAGATCCCACCTCTCAAAGGGAGGAGGGGCAAACAATTTGCCACAAATCCCATTTAACCTACCACAGAAACCTTTCAGATCATGTTTCAGCTTAGGCTTAACTATTTCCTGTGATGAAGAGTTCCACACAGCAAAAGGGCAGTGCACTTACAGCCAAAGCGAACAGAAAATACCTCCGCTCATGAACCTGGACCATTCAACTGCACAGTGCTTGTTCTAATGTTGTTAACACTGCCCTAATGAGCTTCTCCAAGGCATTTCTGAGGCTCTTCAAAATGAAGACATACCAAATCAGGATCACTATTTCTAATAAAGTTTAAACATTCACATTTAGCAAATTAATATTTGAACCAAAACAAACACATAATAGTCATAACCTTCCTTGGCAATAACATCCACAGCCTGTGGTTGAGACCCTCAGTGAACCTGAGAGTCTGGCCAGATGGCCCTAGTGATCCTTCGTGAGCCCCAGCATAGAATATCCCACAATTTCTCACCCACTCTGTCACTGAGGTTCTCAAGGAGACCACTGAGCAGAAAACCTCCACGCATACCTTAATCCCTTCATGATCTCCTCGTGAGCTGAGCCCCAGGACTCCAGCTCCACAGAGCCACTCTTCCAGTATTTGGAGCTCAGCCCCCATCTGGGGAAGAGGAAGGCCAGAAATTAGAGCAGGTGCTCTCATGGTTAGGAAAGAGATAAAAATAATTGCTTTTCTTCCCCAGCAGACTTAAATAATCATATGCAAAACCCAGCAACATAAACTAAGTATCTCTCCACTGTGGGTTGGATTTGAAATACTATCATGGAGTTATTGTTCATTTCAATAGGTATGATAATGACTTTTGTGGCTGTGGAGGGAAATGTCCTTCTTCATAGGAGATGCATGCTGAACTTCTTAGGTTTTGATCAGGAATCTGCAAACTAAGGCTCCCAGGGCTGGAGTGCAGTGGCTCAGTCTCCACTCACTGCAACCTCTGCCTCCCGGGTTCAAGCGATTCTCCTGCCTCAGCCTCATGAGTAGCTGGGATTACAGGCCTGGCTAATTTTTGTATTTTTACAATTTTGTATTTTTAGTAGTTTCACCATGTCAGCTCCTGACCTCAAGTGATCCACCCGCTTCAGCCTCCCAAAGTGCTGGGATTACAGGTGTGAGCCACCGTGCCCAGCCCACATCCTTTTGTTTCTATATTGTCGGTAGCTGCTATTGTGCTACAACAGCAGAGTTGAGTAGTTGTGTGACAGAGACAGCTGGCTCCCAAAGCCTAAAATATTTACTATCTGGGCCTTTACAGAAAATAGTTTGCCAACCCCTGGGTTAGAGTATCATCATCCATGACTTCCATTAAAATTGTTTAGTAAAACAATAGCAACAACAAAGTGTATATGAGTGTGAGTATATAAATATTCTCCATTTAAATTCACTAATTATTAACATTTTACCACATTTGCCCGAGAGAGAAGGCAAATGTGTTAAAATGTTAATATTGGTGAATTTAAACGGAGAATATGTGAGTATTCATTTTATTTTTTCTTTCAACTTTTCTTCATGTTTGAAATTTTAAAAAAATAAAATGTGTGGAGGGTAAATACTGTTTCCAAATGTTTTCCACATTATACTCCATTTAAAAAACTCACAAGAGGTCGGGCGCGGTGGCTCAAGCCTGTGATTCCAGCACTTTGGGAGGCCGAGATGGGCGGATCGCGAGGTCAGGAGATCGAGACCATCCTGGCTAACACGGTGAAACCCCGTCTCTACTAAAAAATACAAAAAACTAGCCGGGCGAGGTGGTGGGCACCTATAGTCCCAGCTACTCGGGAGGCTGAGGCAAGAGAATGGCATAAACCCGGGACTGAGATCCGGCCACTGCACTCCAGCCTGGGTGACAGAGCGAGACTCCGTCTCAAAAAAAAAACAAAAACAAAAACAAAACTCACAAGAGGCCAGGCACGGTGGCTTATGCCTGTAATCCCAGTACTTTGGGAGGCCAAGGTAGGTGGATCACTTGGGGTCTGGAGTTCAAGACCAGCCTGACCAATATGGTGAAAGCCCATCTCTACTAAAGATACAAAAATTAACTGGGCGTGGTGGTGGGTGCCTGCAATCCCAGCTACTTGAGAGGCTGAGGCAGGAGAATCACTTGAACCTGAGAGGTGGAGGTTGCAGCGAGCCGAGATTGCACTACTGCACTCCAGCCTGGGCGACAAGAGCGAAACTCCATCTCAAACAAATTAATTAATTAATTAATTAATAAAAACTCAGGAAAATCTGCTAAAAAATTTACAACTCATGGGAAAATTAAACAAGGAGAATAATAACACTCATGGTGGATCACTAGGGCCATCTGGCCAGACTCTCAGGTTCACTGAGAGTCTCAACCACAGACTGTGGATCCAAATATATAACTAGCAAGTGCAATAGGTTTAAAAATAATGGGTACAATCTCATTCACAATAGCAACAACGAACATTAAACCTAAAATTTAACTAAAAAAGAAATGTATAGCTAGGCGTGGTGGCTCACACCTATAATCCCAGCACTTTGGGAGGCCAAGGTAGGTGGTTGGCTTGAGCTCAGGAGTTCAAGACCAGCTGGGCAACATGGTGAAATCCTGTCTCTACAAAAAACACAAAAAACAGTTGAGTGTGATGGTGGTGCATGCCTGCAGTTCCAGCTACTTGGGAGGCTGAGGTGAGAGGATCACTTGAGCCCAGACAGGGGTTACAGTGAGCTGAGATTGTGCCACTGCACTCTAGCCTGGGCAACAGAGTGAGACCCTATCTCAAAGAAAAATAGCATTTAAAGAAAATAAATTTTACCAAGGTCCAAAAAGTAGAAGCATATGGGTATATAGATAAAAGTTATTGAAAAAGTTTGGGATTAGGTGGTCAGCACCTTTAAAGGTGTTTTAAAAAATTAGCAAAGACAAAAAGAAGCTTTGAATAACGTATCATACTTCTGAACAAGAAGATTCAATGATTCAGTAGTGTAAAAATGTCCATTTTTCACAAAGACAGCTATAAATTGATGCAATTCTAATGAAAGTCACCGAGGTCTTTGTTGTTAAGAGGGTGGGAGATAATGACAAAATAATTCAAGTTTCCCTGGCAGAAAAAAAAAAAAATGGGTGCGATTAGCCAAGGACATTTTGGAAATGAAGAGTAATGGTAGGGTTCTTACCTTAACAGATGTTAAAATTTATTTTAAAGCTACAAGAATTAAACAATTAAGTCTGGCTCAGGAATAATAAATCAGAGAAGAAAAATCCACAAAAAGGCCCACAAGTAAGTAAAAAGTAAGAATCCAATCAAGGCAGCAAGTCAAATGAGAAGGGAAAAGACAGATTACATAATAAATAATATGGGAACTACTGGCTCACCATTTGGAAGAAAATAAAGTAAGAGCCCTCTATTACAATACCCTCCAAAGCGAAGGAAAACTAGTTGGAGAGAAATAAAATCAGGAAAGACATATAAACAATGTAGATTTTTAAAAGCTTGTGATGTCACAGATCCTTCTAAGCATGAAGCAAATAATGAAAAAAAACTAGACTGATAGATTTAGCCAATTAAAAGTGTAATCCTATGTACATCTGAAAATACTGAAACCAAATTTAAGAAAAAAACAACGCTGATAAAAATATTTGCAACATACATGATTTGAAAAGGCCAACGTTGGCCAGGCATGGTGGCTCATGCCTGTAATCCCAGCACTTTGGGAGGCCGAGGCAGGCAGATCACAAGGTCAGGAGTTCGAGAACAGCCTGGCCAACCTGGTGAAATCCCGTCTCTACTAAAAATACAAAAATTAGCCGGGAGTGGTGGCGCACGCCTGTGCTCCCAGTTACTCGGGAGGCTGAGGCAGAAGAATTGCTTGAAACCGGGAGGCAGAGGTTGCAGTGAGCCAAGATTGTGCCATTGCACTCCAGCCCGGGCAACAAAGCGAGACTCAGTCTCAAAAAAAAAAAAAAAAGAAGAAAGAAAGAAAGAAAAGAAAAGGCCAATGTCCTCACTATCTAATTAGTATGGGTGCAAAACAAAGTTTTAAAATTTTTTAAATGGGAAAATGCCATGAGTATATTGACAGCTGCATGACTCTCTGCACACAGGTAACAACTCCATCAAACTCTGGCCATGGCTTCTAGCAGTATAAGGTCATGTCCCTAGGATGACTCTAGACCTCCATTAAAAAACTCAATGTTGACCGGGGCGTGGTGGCTCACGCCTGTAATCCAGCACTTTGGGAGGCTGAGGTGGGTGGATCATGAGGTCAGGAGATCGAGACCATCCTGGCTAACACGGTGAAACCCCGTCTCTACTAAAAATACAAAAAATTATCTGGGTGTGGTTGCGGGCGCCTGTAGTCCCAGCTACTGGGGAGGCTGAGGTGGGAGAATGGCGTGAACCTGGTAGGCGGAGCTTGCAGTGCTGCAAGCGGAGATAGGGCCACTGCACTCCAGCCTGGGCGACAGAACGAGACTCCGTCTCAAAAAAAAACAAAAAAGCTCAATGTTACCAGAAAACCTACTATTTGTTCTAACCAGCACCTGTCAATAGACCAATAACTCCTTATCCTAGACCACAAAATGTGACTATATCATCTCCTTGAATCCTCATAAATATTTCCAGAAGAGTGTTATTATTACCTGAATATTACAAACAAGGCCTCATTTCTGGACCAGTGGTTTGGGATGCAAAAGTCCCCAGTTCTGATCCTGACTCTATCCCTAACCACTACTACCTGTGAACTTGGCCAAGTCTCTTCTGTCTGACCCTCAGTTTCCTCATCTGTAAAATAAGAAGTGGATTGGCCCAAATGGTGTGTCAATGTCCTTCCTGCTCAGACATGACAGATTTCTATTCTCATAAAGCACCCAGTACCAACCAATGGCCAAGGATTGATCCAAATCAGAGGCCAGTCCCAGTGGTCTCGGGGCTAATCAGTTGGCCGCACACAGGGGCCCTATGCGCTGGCCCACCTTGAATTCCTCCTGGATGCGTTCCTCCAAGACTTTGGCTGCCTTGCGGTCTTCCATCTCCACTTTCCACTTCTCTGCCAAGATCCGGGCTTTCTCGTTGGCCAGAGCATCCCGGAACTTCTTGGTGATCTCTGCCTCCTTCTGTCTCCTACCAAGAGAGCACCACAGGTATAAGCTTGTGTGAAAAACTGAAGGACCACATGACAATAGAACTTGAAATAAAAACAATGAGCAATTTTTCCTTGGTCTATCAGAATCCAATGTTGGCAAAGACGGGGAGAAACAGGCAGTCTCAAGCATGGGAGTGTAAATCGGCACAATTGTTCTGGAAGCCAGGAAAACTATGCTAGAAACCCCGTTTCCTAGATTTTCTACACTCACGCAAGTGTACAAGGATGCATGTAGGTCAGGCATGGTGGTGCGTGCCTGTAATCCCAACATTTTGGGAGGCAGTGGCAGGAGGATCGCTTGAAGCCAGTTCAAGCCCAGCCTGGGCAACATAGTGAGACACCATCTCTACTAAAAATTTAAAAAATTAGCCATGTCTGGTGGCATGCACTTGTGTCCCAGATACTCAGGAGGCTGAGGAGGGAGGATCACTTGAGCCCAGGAGATCAAGGTTGCAGTGAGCCTTGATCATGACACTGCACTCCAACCTGGGAAACAAAGTGAGACCCTGTCTCAAAAAAACAAAACAAAATGATAAATAAATAATAAATTTATAATAAAACAAAGATGCATGTAAAAGATGCTTGCCAGAGGATTTTTATAATATAAAAAATGGTAAACAATCCAAATGTCCATCAATAAGATCAATAAGTTGGGTTTCTCATATCATATAATAAATACCTGTACCATATAGTAATCTTAAGTTGCGTTTTGGATCTATAAGTCAATTTGTCAAGGTGTGAATAAAACAATTTACAAAGCATGTATTAACTAAACATTCACTGTGGTTACCTTAGGGGGTGGGTGTGAATTGTTCTTTATTTTGTATAGTTTTCAGTGTTGTTTACATGATTTTAGAATTTCTCAATTAAAATACCATCATTAAGACCAGGCGCAGTGGCTCACGCCTGTAATCCCAGCACTTTGGGAGGCCAAGGCGGGTGGATCACCTGAGGTCAGGAGTTTGAGACCAGCCTGGCCAACATGATGAAACTCTGTCTCTACTAAAAATACAAGAATTAGCTGTGTATGGGGCTAAGCATAGCTTCCATGCCCGGGCCCCACCCAACACCCCATAGCACCCCTCACCAGAGCTCCTCAGCTTCCCTCTGTGCCTGCAGCCGCGCCCTCTCTGCAATCAGCTCCTCAGAGATCGCTTCGTAGGGCTTGTCACCAGGGCCTTCTCCCATGATCCAGACCCAGACCTCGCCATCTGCCCCTAGGAGCCATTGGATGTGCTTGTCACTTGCTGCTTCACAATAGAAGGAAGAAGAAACAGGTTTGATTTCCAATCAGTAAGGAATGACCTAAGCTGCCGAGTGGTACACAACCATCACATCACACTACAGAACACCGTCATCTACAGAAAGAATGCCAGTGAGACACTGGCCTGCTGGCAGGTCCACAACCATCTCCCACTCCCTATTCCTCTAGAGAGAAATGCAACAGCCACACCAGCCTACAGGGGTGGGCGTCCAAGACTGAGCTCTCTTTCTATCTCCAGCAGAGAGAATGTACAGTGAAAAGGAGGCCGAGGATGACTAGCTCCAGTTTACTCCTAACCTCCCGGCCCTGGCAGTGATATCTTTTAGGTTAACTGCTTTTGCTTACCTCCGCACGTAGGCCGAGCTAACAATGTATAGTTTAAAGCATGGATGATAATAGCCTCTCCCCAAAACGAAGCCCTCAGGAGACAAAGAGGGTGTACACACAAGTAACAATGTCATGTTAAAAATGTATAGGAGCATTGTGACCTGACTAAGCACAAAGAAGTTTACCCTCGCTGCCACCCAGATGTCCACAGTCATTACTCATCCTTCTATCTTAACCCCCCACCTCTTCCCCCTTCCCTTAACATAAAAGAAACCCAAACTTCATATTAGCTTAGGAGGTTCTTTAGGACACTAGTTGCCATCTTCTCGGTTTGCTGGGTCTCCGAAATAAAGTTGCTTTCCTTGCCCCACACCTTGTCTCTCAACTTATTGGCTGTTGTGTTGTGAGCAGTACAAGCTTTGGACTTTGCTACAAGAACATCAAGGGACATTGCAGCACTCTCTGAGGGAAGAAACTTGTGTCACTCCCTGGTCAAGGCAGTTAGGAGATAGTGGGCCCGCTCTGCAGTCTCTCCTTCATGTCCACTGGCTAGAAACAAGGAATCAGGTGGTGGAGTGAGATGACGCAGCCTGGGGCCCTGAGTCTCCCTGGCCCACAACAGACTGTAACACTAGCAAGAAATAAGCATGTGTTAAATTCAGCCACTGAGATTTCTCAGTTTGCCTATTGCAGCAGATTCCACTGATTACAGGACTAAAACGAAAATGTATCCCAGAAGCAGGGTGCTGCTGAAACAGAAATATAAACTGTGTTGCTGCCTTAGCAGTTGGGTGGTGAGTGATATTTAACAGGCTAGAGATCCATGTTATGCAGCAGCAAAACATTCAGTTAAAAAGCTAGACACTATAACTTCAAAGGCAGACGCCATGCTTTCTGAACTTTTCATTCTAAGGGAGGAGGTTGAAAAATAGAACATGAGGAATAAGTGTTGGTTGCTAGTGACTGTGTTTGGCAAGATGTTAAGAGAAAGAAACGAATTCAAGAAAGAACTGAGTGCTTTGCAAGCTGAAATGAAAAGGGAATAGAGCAAATACAGAAATTTGAGATGTTGTAGGATTGGAAAAAGCATCTCATCATATAGCAGGACCCACATTGCAAGAGATGGAATTTTTAAAGGTTTTGCACAGGAAAATTCTAAAGTGAATAAAGTGATGAAGGGCACATAGCACCTGCAGGTCAGGCTCTGTGAAGTTCTTGTGGTGACCATGAGGATGTGCTCCGTCCACCTTCAACCACAGGGAGCATCACTGACTAAGCCCCGCAACTCCTGTGCCCTTGCGTTTACCCAAGGCCCTGCTTCCCAGAGGCTGCTCAGCCTTTTATTGAAGATGCCAAGCTCATTCCCAGGAGACGCCCACCTCCTTGCCAAAAGATCGCTTTCCCTGGACTGCACAACCACCTATAACACCTCCACCCACCGTCCCTTGCCCTCTCCTTCACTCAAGGTCAAGCTTGCAATGATTCCCTCAGCCTCCTCCAGTTCCCTGCCCCTTTTCTCTCCCAGACATTTCCCTTAATAAAACCTTGTATGATTAATCCCATCCTGTCTCTACTCCTCGGAGAAACCAGACTGACACAGCCACATTAAGAATGTGATCTCTCATTGCACCACTGCACTCCAGCCTGGGCAACAGAGTGAGACTCTGTCTCAAAAAAAAAAAAAAAAAAAAAAAGTGTGATCTCTCACACTTATTTTTAGAAAAAGCTTCAAGGAAGATGTCCTTCAGGTGAAACTGAGAGGCACAAAGGTAAAGGGGCAAAGGAAGAACGTCAAGTTGAGAAATATGTCTAGAAAAGAATTTTAGATGCCGTTACTGGGACATGGAAGCAAACAGAAGCCACCTAAGTTTTTGAGCCTGGATTAAAAAATCTTTGGTTGTTCATGTCTTAAATGGCCCTTGGGCATCCAAGTCTGATGACCAGCAGGCAGGTTTCAAAGGCTTCACTGGTCTAGAGGGTGTGATCCTCAACACTCACTTCAGAGGAGGCCAAGGGGAATTATAGACAAAAAGCCTCATCCAGGCTGGAGTCAATGTTTACTCAAGGAGTTATCTTCACTGCAAGGCAGGGAAACTTCATGGTCCTGACCTGTAAGACTTCAGAAATGCTACAGACTGGAGACTGTGACTTTCACGTTCTCCACTTCTCCAGGTGGCATTTCCTTAGTGGGTATTCTGACCCTGCTCCAATACTGTGTACAGTGCCTTAGCGGGGACAGGTGTTTAAATGATGTCTCCTCAACACATTCAGACCTGATGGAGATGAGTGCAGAACCCCAGAGACAGTGGACTTTGAGCTGGATGCAGTGACTGGCTGGGACCTGAAGGCGTCCCCTGTAAGAGGTGGTGAGTGTATTTTAGAGGCAGGAGAAGAATGAAATGTGTGGATGGCCAGAATGACAATTTAGGACAGTGACAATGCAAGGTCCACCACCCCATGTCTCTTCCTCAGCCCACAGATGACTGACTACATTCCTCAGCTTCCCTTCAGTTCTGTGGGGCCACGTGATTGAATTCTAGTCTACGGAATGTCAGGGAAGGGATTTGTTGTGCCATTTTCAGGCTAAGACAGTTAGCAGCTGGTGTGCCTTCTCCACATTTTCACTCTTGTCCACCCAGCTGGAAATAAATGGTGGAATTTCAAGGAAAAAAGCAGCCTGATCCATGAGCCAATGTTTGAAAGCAAGTTACACAGAAGAAATACCCAACCCACATCAAACCGTGAAATAGTTAAGTAATAAACCTTCATCATATTAATCTACTGAAATTTCAGGCTTTTCTATATGCACATGGCAGCAGTAATTCTCCAGATATATATAGGAGTACATTGCTATTTTTAAGTATGTTACAAGCAATATAGTAGCAAAGAAACAGCGATTTAATTGTGACTGATAGAAACAGAGAGGCAATCACTACTTAGAATTATAAAACTTTCAAATTAATAGTGGGTAAAAATAAATGATAAGAGGATTACCAATCCTGCTAAGCAAGGGGAAAAGGTAAAGCAACAAAAAATGGGTAGCTATTACAGCAGATACTGCCAATTAACTACCCACCCTCCATGCTTGCCTCACCACAGAACCCCAAGTGGTTCAGGGAGCAGCAGAGATCCCCCCCTATTTTAGGAAAAGTGAGTTTTGACCCCAGCCTCAAAGGACAAATAACAATTGATCTGGCAGGGCACAGTGGCTCACGCCTGTAAACCCAGCACTTTGGGAGGCCAAAATGGGCAGATCACCTGAGGTTAGGAGTTCGAGACCAGCTTGGCCAATATGATGAAACCCCATCTCTACTAAAACTACAAAAATTAGCTGGGCATGGTGGCACATGCCTGTAATCCCAGCTACTTGGGCTGAGCTGGGAGAATCGCTTCAACCTAGGAGGCAGAGGTTGCAGTGAGCCAAGATCATGCCACTGCACTCCGGCCTGGGTGATAGAGTGAGACTCCATCTCAAAAAAAAAAAAAAATTGATCTAATCCCATCAGGTAATATTATTCTCATTGGCAAGTGATTCATCTATGAGTGACAAGATGTCCCCATTTCTGACAAAGATATAAGCAGATGTTCCAGTGAAGGGTTCTTCTTCTCCAAACAAATGAATAAGTCTTAGGAGAAACCTCTTTACTCTTCACTCTTTTTTTTTTTGGTTTTTTTTTGGGGTTTTTTTGCTTTTTTTTTTAGACGGAGCCTGGTTCTGTCACCCAGGCTGGAGTACCAGTGGCATGATCTTGGCTTACTGCAACCTCTGCCTCCCAGGTTCACGCCATTCTCCTACCTCAGCCTCCCGAGCAGCTGGGACTACAGGTGCCACTACCAGGCTGGGCTAATTTTTTTGTATTTTTAGTAGACACAGGGTTTCACCGTGTTAGCCAGGATGGTCTTGATCTCTTGACATTGTGATTCACCCGCCTCGGCCTCCCAAAGTGCTAGGATTACAGGCATGAGCCACCGCGCCCGGCCCACTCTTCATTCTTTTACCCCACCTTCTTCTTCCTGCCGGTAATGAAGCAATGGTTCCTGGAGCCCCTGGAAAACTTTTGCAACCCTGAGGATAAAAGCAACATGCTGGTGACAGAGCGAGACTCCGTCTCAAAAAAAAAAAAAAAAAAAGCAACATGCTAAGGATGGGGAGGCAAAAGATAGAAGGGAAGAGATACTTCGTGATCTTATCGAGCAGCTAAACTAATATTACCCATTGCAGCACATCTCATCTCCAGATTTCTTGTCATCTGAGAGAAATAAGGAACTTTAAGAAATAAAGTTCTTCAGTTGGGCGTGGTGGTGCGTGCCTCTAGTCCCAGCTAGTAGGGAGGGTGAAGCAGGAAGATGCCCTGAGCCCAGGAGCTGGAGACTGCAGTGAGCTGTAATTGCACCACTGCACTCACTCCAGCCTGGGTGAGAGGGCAAGAACATGTCTCTTTAAAAGAAAAAAAAAGGAAAAGAAATAAAGTTCTTCATGGAGATAGAGGATAGAATGATGCTTACCAGAGGCTGGGAAGGGTAGTAGGGCTGGGGGTGGGAGTAGTGGAATGGTTAATGGGTACAAAAATACAGTTAGATAGTGTGAAAGTAAACTAAAAATGGTCTGAGAAGGACTCTGTTGCTCTCTATTTGAGTCCTTGTGGACGAAACCATAAC